ACTGCAGTTTATCTTTGGGTGTGATGAATGAAGTTGAAGTACTAGACGCTGTAGAATCTACATTTGTTATTGTATTTCTGATGTTATCTATTTTATCAGTGAAGAAATTCATAAAGTCATTACTATTAAACTGTGAGGGAATATTTAGATTGGGTAGCGTCTGGTTATTTGTTAATGTAGCCACTGTGCTAAATAAAACCACTATTTTAAACTCCCAAAGCAATATATGGGTTGTGTCAGAAATCGCATACTCTCTTATGTGGAACTTTTTTGAATAAGTAAGTACTTTGCAACCACAAAAAGAGTACATTTAATTATGAATGTAATCTGGACATTCTACATTCACCATGTTGTTATTGTCATGTAACCAGCGTCAGTTGCGTTGCGTTACTGCCATTCATAAAACATCTCTCGTGGCCTAATGGGATAATAAAGTGTCCATCGAATGCACACTACAGAATCATGCTCTGTATGGTCATTCGGGTACTTTTTGCCTACTCTTTTATGAGTACTGTGAATACGGACATACTTCTTTTGTCACATACTGTTTTTCTCCTACTATATAGTAGTGAAGTATGTGATTTCAGATGCAGACAATGTCTTTCTTCAGCTGTGGCAGGGGTGTCCAATCCTGCTCCTGTAGGGCCACTATCCTGCAGAGTTTGGCTCCAATCCTAATTAAATGCACCTTTTAACTAGCTAATCAATGTCTTCAGGATTACTAGAACATTTGGGGCTAGTATGTTATAAAAGGTTGGAGCTAAGCTCAGCAGGAACAGGATATGACAACCCTGAGCTATGGACACATTTGGAATATAAAATCTCTTAAAACACTAGTTAATTTGTCCACTAACAATGCCCAACAGTGTATATACATATGTAATAGAATTATTGGTCCCACTCTATATTAAGTGGCCTTAACTACTATGTACATACATAAAAAAATAAGTACAATGTACTTATTGTGTTCATATTGTATTGCAAAACACTTTTGCTGCTATTGAGGTGGGATATGGGTAAGGTTAGGGACAGGTTTCGTGGTTTGGGTAGGTTTAAGGGTGGGTTAAGGTGTAAGGGATGGGTCAACAGTGTAATTATAAATGTAATTACAGAAATTAATTACAGATGTAATTACATGCAGGTATTTTTAAAATATAAGTACAATGTAAAAACATGTATGTACACAATAATTGCATTGTACCAAATTATTCATTTAAATGTAAGTACATAGTAGTTAAGGCCACTTAATATAAAGTGGGACCGAATTATTCCTTGCCCCTGAAAGTAATGGTTATTTCAACCACAATATTTCAAAATTTTCAAATTTTTAAATATGAAAATGGCTTGTTTTTCACATTTTGTTTAGATTTTCATAGTTTTAAAAATAGTAACTTCTAATTTTATGTTGGATTTTCATAGTTTGAAAGTCTGGTACTGAGACAAAAGCAAACAAAGTCTATTTATGAAAAGCATTTAAAAAGTAAAGCAAGTAAATGTTAAATGTGGTAAATGTTTCCATTTTCAATTGTAATGTGATCTTAATATTACAAAAATTAAGTTGATCATATAGTTTTAATAAAAATCTAATTGAAAAAACATCCATACATTGTATAATATCTCAAGACCTTTTATACAGTTTCTCCTGATATTATGCTATCAGATTGGTGCATAATGCTTTTACTGAGCAGGCCCTGCTTCTTTAGAACAGAAATAGTTCCGTCAGGGGTTAAGCTGTAGAGAGCACTCCAAAGATCATTATTTGAGTCCTCATTGAGCACACCTGCTGGCATTAAACTACTCACTGCCGTAATGATAGGTTCAATCAAACCTCCAAACTCACCTCGAATCACTCAGTAAATAGACCCCATTCTGATGTTTTCTACCGCCAAACAAGGGAGACAAAAGCTGCTGCTCTTAATTCACAGGTAAGCCTTTTACCGGTGTTGCTACAGCCTGCATTTAACTGACGGAGTGACTCAAGCTTTTGCCAAGGCTCATTTTTGGCTATATAATGGTGTCTGAAGATCCCTCCGAGTCCATTGTGACGAACGGGGGTACGTTATGATCATTTAGAGAAAAAAACGGAAATGTCCCAGAGGGCTTTAATCTTTCTTCATTATTTCCCCATTATGGATAAATGCTCTCTGAGGGCCTCTTTCTGGTTATAAATGAAACACTTTGACTCCTTCTCCATCCCTCGTTCTCCCGCCTGCACACCTTTCACCCTTTGCTTTCATCTTTTACTTTGGGATATTACTTTGGGCAGCGGTGTGTATTCCACTTGCAGATAGAAGGATAATTAAGTTGATAAACAGGGGTTGAATGGTGTTAAGTGTTAAGGGAGTGGGGAGAAGCTCTCTTCTCTATTACTGATGGGGTATTACCACATATACATTGAACCTGATATATAAGTCACTGAATGTCATTTGATGATGGTACCTGTCAGAAAACAAGATCATATGGATCAACAAAGCAGCTATTTGATGGGGTGGCATTGAAATGACCTCATAGGCCTTAATGAAACTGCTATTTTTTTCACAAAACTGCCAGTGTTTCCTATCATGCATATAATATGTATTCATGCATATAACATAGTCTGCTTTTACTCTGTGCTTGGTAAATAAAAACTATGATGTGTAACTATGATGAATAATTTTTAGAGTAATATTTACTAATGCAAAGATCTGCAACCTTTTTCCAGTAAAATTGATAAATGTCAGTGCAGTTTTTATTAAAATACTGTTGCATTTTAAGTTTAGCCTATTATAGCATGCCTTTATGGTACTGTATTAATGTTTATATAATTTAATGCATTATTTATAGTTTTTTATATTTATACATATGCTTTCTTGTACCTTTACGTTTTTATATTTAATTTTATTTAATGTCTAATGTTTTAATGTGTGAGTAACAATTAAGTATTTAGCTGAACTAGCAAATCTTTTTAACTTTAGATTTGATTTGAAATTATGGGTGGGTAATCTGACAGTTTTGTGTTGTGATTGGTCTTGAAGATGTTCACAATTTTCTTTTCAAACGAATCGTAGAGATTGTGACCAAATATGTCCTATTTATGTATGTATGTTAACATAGACGTGCCTCTTTCAGTTGACAGGACTAAGGACTAAGTTATTAACATGTTAGAGAAACATCAACCATGGCAAAATCCATAATAGATATGGACATCAAGTTTCTTCTACAGATGTCATTGTAAAGTACATTTTTCTCTCTTTTTGTCATTAGGTATTTTCATTCATTTCGATACTTAAGAGCCAGGAAGAGCAGGAAGAAAAATTCATACGTGCCTTTGCCAGGCTCTTCAAATTAATTTAAACACACTTTTCTTCATAATCATGCTATATATATCTCAATGCTGTTTTCTGACATTCTCTTTTTTGGTAGATGAGAAATGGGCAAAGCATTCCATTCATTCCTTTTCTTATGATGACTGATTGCAAAAGGCTTCCTTGCACATGTTCTGCTGAGATGAGGAGGAGGAGGAGGAGAAGGAAGAGAAAATGGTAAAAAAAAAAAAGTCTATTTCAGATGTCTTGATGGAACTTTTTTGTTCTGTGCACTTGTACATTTTTGTCCATGGGGGTGGCTGGCTTGTGTAATTCGATAAATCCACAATGGAAGCAGTTTAAACTACTTCAAGAACATTTGCAGCTACCTGACCACTTTAATACACTGCTTTAATAGTTTCTCCATTCCATGGCCATTTGAAAACTTTGTTTTTGGTTTTGGTTGCCAGGTGGCGTGGAAGTTGTACAATGCTGGTTTAAAGCACCTGAAGCAAAACTGGTGTTTTAACCTTTTCTATGTAGTGTTCTACATATAATGCAATGGTTTTCAAAGTGGTGGCCACAAGGGATCACAAAACATTTGAGAAGAAACCATTCAGGTTTTAAAAACTGTGTTTTTATGGCAATCATAGTGCGCTTATATTAATGAGTTAAAGGGATAGTTCACCCAAAAATGAAAATTCTGTCATCATTTAGTCACCCTCATTTCGTTCCAAACCTGTATGAGTTGCTTTCTTATGTTGAACATAAAAGAAGATATTTTGAAGATTGCTGGTAATCAAACAGTTGGTGGTTGCCATTGACTTCCATAGTAGGAAAAAAAATACTATGGAAGTCAATGGCAAAAACCAACTGTTTGATTACCAGCAATCTTCAAAATATCTTCTTTTGCGTTAAACATAAGAAAGCAACTCATACAGGTTTGGAACGACATGAGGGTGAGTAAATGATGACAGAATTTCCATTTTTGAGTGAACTATACCTTTAAGTGGTAATCTCAGATACAATGTCAACTTAATATATAAAATATTTTCCAGTTAATATTTTTGCAATTTAGTTTTGTACAATCACAATATAAAGGCCAAATGTAATTGTCTTTATAATAGCACAGTTTTTATATTTTTCTCAAAACATTTGTTTTTTAGAAAGTTGGGATGCAAAGAGACCATCATATTTGAGGTCTTTGGCCTCAAAAAGTAAAAAGAAAAATCCTTCCTCTAATGTGTGGGGAAAGCAATGGCAAACAAATTTATATTGTTGAACTACTGCAGTTGTGAGAGTGAAGTTGTGCTTGTAAATATATGAATGAGTTATAGTCAAGAGTTCATACTCGAGGCCAACAACCTCAATAGCAATAGAGCAATTCATTGTAACGCTTTAGTCGTTTTCAAAAGTAACATCAACACAAGTGTAGAGATGCTATAGTTTAGTGACCGGAGTGTTTTTATAGAAGTTCAGAATGTGTCTGGTAATTTTGTGTAGCTGAGCATTAGTATCCTGCTCATTCTAGCAACGGCAGATCTACTGTTGTGTATTTATCCAGCAAGACCACAGCTGTGCCAATCAATCCCAGGAAAAACCCAATGAAATCCTCTCTTTTTATCCTTGAAAAACTGCATAATGAAGAACAAATCAAACCCGGCTCATCTGGAAAAAAAGAGAATCTGAATAACATTGGGAGACAAAAATAAAGCAAAGAAATTATTAAAACGGAATGACATGAAGTGAGTCTAGAATGTCAGAGAGAGAGCAACCGAGAGAAAAGGAAAGAGAAAAAAAGCAGTTCTTTGGATTAAGCATGCATTGGGGGAAAAAAAAGAGAAGAATCTAAATTCTCGGGTCCTAATCTCTTGCTCGAAGCGACGCTCTGTTAAGCCCTGGTTTGGGATGACAGGTCCCCCACCTGGACAAGCTTGGACAATGTCTCTGCAATGTCTCGTTTCTGCAGGAACAGTGAGCCACAGACGGCTAATCACGTCCGGAACCAAAAGCACCTGCCCTATCTGCCTCTACATTTGGTGAGGAATCTTTAAAGAGGATAAACCTCACTTTCATGCTTGTCTTTTATTCACGGTAAGTGCTTATCGAAACCGAGCTGTTGCCACTGCCCCGTGTTCCCTCCCACAAGCTCGGAGAATGCTTGACGTAAGTACAGCCAATCTGGGTAAATACGAATCTCTCCTTACTGTCACTGTTGGCATATTATGTCCCTGAGGGAACATTCTTTTCATAATATCATAAGCTGCTTAGCGGTGTGCTTCTATTTAAGGCATACATATTAATAGCTATAAGGAAATCATATTTGAACTGTTCCCTGCAATCAATGTCTTTAGGATTGCTGTTATACTTTGTATAAGAAGGTGCTAATAACTTGGAGGCTCTTAGACTGGGCGATCTAATCCCTTTGTATGATAAAGGCTTGCCATACTATGGAAGTCAATGGCAACCACCAACTGTTTGATTACCAGCAATCTTCAAAATATCTTCTTTTGCGTTAAACATAAGAAAGCAACTCATACAGGTTTGGAACGACATGAGGGTGAGTAAATGATGACAGAATTTCCATTTTTGAGTGAACTATACCTTTAAGTGGTAATCTCAGATACAATGTCAACTTAATATATAAAATATTTTCCAGTTAATATTTTTGCAATTTAGTTTTGTACAATCACAATATAAAGGCCAAATGTAATTGTCTTTATAATAGCACAGTTTTTATATTTTTCTCAAAACATTTGTTTTTTAGAAAGTTGGGATGCAAAGAGACCATCATATTTGAGGTCTTTGGCCTCAAAAAGTAAAAAGAAAAATCCTTCCTCTAATGTGTGGGGAAAGCAATGGCAAACAAATTTATATTGTTGAACTACTGCAGTTGTGAGAGTGAAGTTGTGCTTGTAAATATATGAATGAGTTATAGTCAAGAGTTCATACTCGAGGCCAACAACCTCAATAGCAATAGAGCAATTCATTGTAACGCTTTAGTCGTTTTCAAAAGTAACATCAACACAAGTGTAGAGATGCTATAGTTTAGTGACCGGAGTGTTTTTATAGAAGTTCAGAATGTGTCTGGTAATTTTGTGTAGCTGAGCATTAGTATCCTGCTCATTCTAGCAACGGCAGATCTACTGTTGTGTATTTATCCAGCAAGACCACAGCTGTGCCAATCAATCCCAGGAAAAACCCAATGAAATCCTCTCTTTTTATCCTTGAAAAACTGCATAATGAAGAACAAATCAAACCTGCTCATCTGGAAAAAAAGAGAATCTGAATAACATTGGGAGACAAAAATAAAGCAAAGAAATTATTAAAACGGAATGACATGAAGTGAGTCTAGAATGTCAGAGAGAGAGCAACCGAGAGAAAAGGAAAGAGAAAAAAAGCAGTTCTTTGGATTAAGCATGCATTGGGGGAAAAAAAAGAGAAGAATCTAAATTCTCGGGTCCTAATCTCTTGCTCGAAGCGACGCTCTGTTAAGCCCTGGTTTGGGATGACAGGTCCCCCACCTGGACAAGCTTGGACAATGTCTCTGCAATGTCTCGTTTCTGCAGGAACAGTGAGCCACAGACGGCTAATCACGTCCGGAACCAAAAGCACCTGCCCTATCTGCCTCTACATTTGGTGAGGAATCTTTAAAGAGGATAAACCTCACTTTCATGCTTGTCTTTTATTCACGGTAAGTGCTTATCGAAACCGAGCTGTTGCCACTGCCCCGTGTTCCCTCCCACAAGCTCGGAGAATGCTTGACGTAAGTACAGCCAATCTGGGTAAATACGAATCTCTCCTTACTGTCACTGTTGGCATATTATGTCCCTGAGGGAACATTCTTTTCATAATATCATAAGCTGCTTAGTGGTGTGCTTCTATTTAAGGCATACATATTAATAGCTATAAGGAAATCATATTTGAACTGTTCCCTGCAATCAATGTCTATAGGATTGCTGTTATACTTTGTATAAGAAGGTGCTAATAACTTGGAGGCTCTTAGACTGGGCGATCTAATCCCTTTGTATGATAAAGGCTCGCCATGCCGAGAGTGGTTGCCAGATCGTGGACATGGTGCTTCAGAGGGTTAGTTCTTAACGTCGTACTCCAGCTCTGCACTCACCCGTGTTTTATCTGCTATTTTTTCCCTTTTTACCTCCCAGAAACCTGGCAACAAGCTGAAGAAGCAGCAGTAGATGTGTGAGGTTGCCCATTGAGTGCTTCGGACAGTGGATGATGACCGGTGTGACTACCAGGATTTTTCCTCCCTCTGCATCATACTCAAAAAAATGCTTGGTTTCTTGTATTCTGTCACAGACAAACCTTAATATTTGTAAGATAGAAAGCTATGTAACAAAAAGACAAATACACAGTTTGCAAAGCAATGTTAATAAACCGAAGCTCAGTCAGATGCTTGAATTAATTGGTTTTGTAGCGTCTGGACCAATCAATTAACGTTCTTAGAATTGACAGACAGTTGACCCTGAGAGGTCAAGTAAATATCTACAGCGGATCTAAATATTTATAATTAATTATAACTAGTTATGATTAATTATTCATATTTCCCCATGAGCTGATTCGCTACAGTTTGTATAGGTTTTCCATAATGGTGTTCATTGCAAGTGCCGAAAGAGCTTGTGAAAGTGGCTTTGACTTAAAATCATTAAAAGTACAATTCACAAATACTTAAAAACACACCTTCTATTATTAGGATTTATTTTTACATTTTATTTAATTTTCATAAAAAGAATCATTAAAAGATAATGACATTGTAGTAGTAATCTACTTTTTTAAAGATGTGTTTTTGGTTTCATGGGACAGGACAGAGAATTGACAAAGAAAAGTAGAAGATGGAGGCAGATGGGATTGGGTGTTGAGCTTCAGTTGCACGAAACACAACCGCCTCCAATTGTGTAATCTTTCATTAATATTTCTTAGAATTTTTTTTTTTTTTTACAATTTAGCTCTTTAATATTATGCTTTTTTTTTTTCAAATCAACATCACATGGTGCAACCAACATACAGAAACATGCAGAAAAAAAGGAAGTGAAATAATAGAGATTACTCCTGCAGCCCCTCATGGCTGTGTCAAGGTCAATAATTTTCATAAAATATCAGATAATTTGACTTGTCAAGGTCTATTTCAGGTTGTCATGTGGTGCAGCTCCCCCGAAACTTTGAATTATTCATTAATGATATTTGTAAAAAAAAAAAAACTTGGAAGAAATATGTTTTCTGAAAACGATTACAATGTGTACTTGCATGTATTCAATGTGTAAGGAAAATATTATTTCTGTGTACTTGAGGGTTTTTAGAGACATTCAATTTACACTTGAAAATGGTTTAAAAGTTTTTTTTCAAAAGCATATGAAACCAACATCAGTACAGAGTGTGATACAAAGAGCGCAGACTTTTTCCAAAGGTGCTTCCTTTTCTTAATCATGGACACTGTTATACATTATTTATCTGTCTAACCTTGCTTCACAGTAGTACTATTTCACATTGAGAACCACTGTAATGCAAAGACTCACGCAAGACTAAACTGTGTGTATTAGCCCTGATGACTCGAGACCTCTTTTTGACCCGGCTTAATTATCTAAAAATGTCAGATATTGTTTACCAGTCATTCTTAATACAAAGACACAGAAATATTTGGATGTGCCCTCATTTCTAATTATGATGGGCTAATTGCTACAGTAATGCGCTCATTAATTAATGCTCCAGTGTCAGGCCCTGATCGCAGATTTTACAGCATCCAGTTCTTTGGCATACATATCAGTGTTATTTGCTGATATGATTTACATATTTTCTTTTTAGCACTGGAATGATTTAATACGGAGGTAATGTTGGTAAAATAAAAATTTTCTTCTCAAGCATCTGAATCAAGAACAAACGCTTAGTCATGTTTTATCTCCACAGATTTGTGTTTTTTTTCAGTGTATAGAATGAATCAAAAATGGATGAATACGAAACGAATAAATCTTAATTCAAGCATCATTATTTATATTTCAGATTTCCAAGCCCATGTATCTTGAGCCTTTTTTATTTGCATCAAACAGGCATGCAGTGTTGAGAATATGAATGTTTTATATTCGATGCAACAGATTTTCTCCATAGGCCTCGATGATCAGCCAGACTTGAGGTTTTGTGGGTGGCCATCGGATTGGATAGTCAGTAATACGGTTGTGTCACCACCAGGAGGGGCTGGATCACAGTGTTAGGAGGCAGGACGCAGGCAGGAAGGAGTAGAAGCAGAGCAGGGGCATGGTTCTTTGAGTTTAGATGAGTGCCTCAATTGTGAGAGTATGCTCCTCTAAGCCTCTGGTTGACAGCAACGCAGTACTCTTATTTAAAGCAATTTCAAACATGTCTTGTCTGACAAGTTTTAAATCCTACTTAACACCCCGTAACAGCCACGAGTTTACTGTCAGAATTAAAGAGGCGAATTCTCAGAGGGGGAGAAATGATCACTTTCATTTTGTTCTCCTCTGTTCTGCAGAAGGGACATGGCAGGGATGTTTACCTAGGGATGAATACATTACTCCCCATTTGCAACACAATGCCTTTCAGTACCATGAAAGGCTGCTGAAAAGTTTACCTTATATTTTAATTGCTGCCATTACGGATGAAGGAAAGAAAGGGAGGTTCAGTCGCTGCGAATGACAGGATGTCGGGTCTTAGGGGGCAAAGCAGATGTCTCTGGAGATCAAGCCCAGAGGTCTACATGAGCTCAGTCAGTAATGGTTGTAAATTATGCGGAAGTATTGTATGCTTTTGTTCATTTGAAGATATTTCTAATCATTAAAAAGTAAAAATAAATCCTTGAATCAAAAGTAAGGTATTTCCTACATTCTTTTTGGGGGGTAAGAATTACATTTTAATTAATTTTTTGAACATAAAAAAATAAAAAATTGAAAAGGGGTAAAAACTCTGACAAGTAGTTCACCTAAAAATGAAAATTGCCATTTCCTCACCCTCACGCTGTCTCAAACCTTTCTTTCTTCGGTGTACTGTAAAAATAATTTGTAAATAAAAGAAAGATTGAGTATGTTTTAAAATAAAATACTAATTACTCTTCTACAGTTTTACTCTTTTACAATTTACTCTTTATACTTCAAAATTTATGAGTGAAATTTGATATATATTGAGATTTTGTATAATTATTGTTACTGTTATTATTGTAATTGTAATTATTGTCAATGGCAACCAATACTGTTTGGTTACTAAAATTCTTCTAAATTTCTTCTTTTGTATTCAGAAGAATAAAGTAAGTTGTACAGTTTTGGAACAGCAAAAATAATGAGAGAAATATAATTTTCACCAGAATACATAGAGGTATGCACATTTTTATCTGCTTCAAGAAGTAAAAACAAATCACCAAATGTAACAATCTCCTCCCTGTCCAGGTTGCACTGGCATGTGAGGAGGTGCAGAGATAAGCGCCCCGGTATGTGTCGGTGCTGTGTGAAAGACACTCGTTATCTGTTCCTAACGTGGACTCCTGCTTAGTCTAGGCAGCCACAGAAATATGTTGGGTAAATCTGATATGAGAAATCAGCCCATCTGAGCATCAGTGCGAGCGCATGCCTTGCAGGCCGATGTTTACTTTGCCCTGGCCCTGTGTTCTTGAAGGAAATATGTCAATAGCCAATGCTCAGACTGGATCCGGCACACTAGCGGGAGCTTCCTTAGTGACCTCATAGGGATGAGACGACTCATAGCTGTGCTGAAAGGACATTTAGTGGAATGTGAGCTGTTCAGTGATAAAAGACAAACAAACTCTGTCCTATTCAATCTGAAAAAAATATGTTTTTATTTTGTTCATTCAATAGTTGCAATAGTGTGTTTAGTACAGTAAATGGTGTAGTAGTTGATTTCGTGTAGGAGGACTGTGAATAACTCTGGGATAATCTTAACAATGTAGCTGCATCAGGTTTGCTACAAGTAACAGTCTTTTTAAAATCAGCGATATTAAGGTAAACTTCAAGACTGATGTTGAATACAAGGAGTTCCATTGTTACAACCATCCATTTGGAATATTAATTGAGGTCACTTGTAAGACTGGGACAAAGGAACATTGAACCTACATTATACTGAATGTATAGCGAATGTGATGGTGTCGCTCGCTCTGAGCAAGGATACACTGGTGTATCCTATGCGGAAGTGTTTTGCATCTAAATACCTGACGCACGTATAAATTCTCCTCCCCTTCACATCTTTTGTAATAATTTTAATTTATATTTGACCTTTTCAGCTTAAATAAACCATACATGTCATATATTTCAAACAGAGCCTCTTGCTTTATTAATATTTATTATAAATGTCTTAAATAGCAAACTTTAACAACATAAGGGCAGATCCCTTTAGCCCAGCTGATGATGCTTTAAAGTGACAATAAAGGGAGCAAGGATATATAATTTCACTTGATTCAACTCCTCCGTCATTGCGTCTTTTCCTTGCGTCCTTCCCTCGCATTCTGAAAGGGTTGGAGCTAAGATGCAAGGAAAGGAAGCGAGGAAAGGAAAAGAAGATGCACAAATAAGGGCCGTTTCTCAATACCAAGTACGCAAAGTTCAGACTTGCGTCCTCGGTAGTTCACACTTCGCAAGTTCGACTCGGAAGTGCGAACTCCTGAGGACGGGAGGACGTGAGGACGGGAGGACTAGAGCCCGACCGATATGGGTTTTTTGGGGCCGATACCGATATTAGGGAGTAAAAAAAAGGCCGATACCGATATATCGGCCGATATTCTGTGTATATTATAGTACAGTACCAGTCAAAAGTTTGGACACTTTCCCATTCGTGTGTCCAAACATTTGACTGGTACTATATATAGAATACAGTATATACATAAACAGAATATATATACATAAACACATTTTTTGCAATGATCACTCAAATGTGGTGATCACATATCGGCAGCATATTCGCCGATACCGATATATCGGCGACAGGCTCATATCGGCTGATAATATCGGCAAAACGATATATCGGTCGGACTCTAGACGTAAGTCCGGTAATTCTGCAAATGGAACAGCACCGTACTTGATAACGTCAGTCAGCTCGCCTTGACTACTCCGGTTATCCTAACTATGTATACAATATGACAAAATATGATATCAAACACCACTTCCTCTTTTTGTTTTCTTTTAAACATATTAATAGCCGCAAAAATGTAGTTCGGGGAACGTAGGCTACATACATTACAGTGAAACGAAATATATCACACAGCAATTGCCTATATCGGCTGATAATATCGGCAAAACGATATATCGGTCGGACTCTAGACGTAAGTCCGGTAATTCTGCAAATGGAACAGCACCGTACTTGATAACGTCAGTCAGCTCGCCTTGACTACTCCGGTTATCCTCAGTATGTATACAATACGACAAAATATGAT